ATCGCAATTTTTATAGATATCGAGGAATCAACAGCCAGGTACGATATTTCGTAGTGAAATTTTATTGCACAATCCCGTGTTAAACGTTATCGAATCCACTCGAATGGCACCAAGTACTTTGCAAAGCGAAAACAGTGTGCCGAAAACTTAAAAGAAAAATCATACTTCACGGTTAATATAAGGTTTAATCGATAATGTCCTTAACCCTTTCGGTAAACAAGAGAAGGGTTAATTTTCATCTAAAATCGATGCACTCTAGTTCTTAACCCTATAGTTAGGGAATCGAGGATCATCCAAAATCTGAACGTTCTTTACTTTCTGTCGACTACTGTAACGTCCATTGGATAATTGTTTCGGCTCCTCCAGGTTACTAGTCTCGTAACTGGATCTTCCGATATAGGAGTCCGTCGGGTAACCAGGCATCTGGCGAGCGTCCTCCTGGGTCAATCGAATCAAATCCAGGACGGGGCTCTTACCTTGCCCCGAAGTCTGACCTTTCCCGATAGATTCCGTTCCGAGATCGTAGGTAGACGGTTGGGCCAGCTCTTGAATGCTCTTGGCGTACTGAACGAGGTACTGTTGAAGCAGAGCCTTCAAATTAATGTTCTGCGAGGATTTCGTCTGAATAGGAGACGCGCCATCCACTCGGAGTATAATAACCGGTATCAAAGAGTTCCCGGCCTGCACGAAGGTCGGTCGTACGTTCAGAATAGACGAAGGATTTCTAATATATTCCGAGATGGACGGATTGTAATTCAATAGATCCGAGTATCGAAGATTCGAGTAACTGTTCAGGTCATTGTTATCGAAGCTTTGTTTCTTCGATCCATCCTCCTCGGCTAGGACACTGTCCAAGTAATTCCGCACCTTCGAGGTGTATTTCCTTGGAGAACGATCACCGGAGGAGCTGAATAAATTGCTCAGAGGAGTGGTACTGTTGAGGGTAGCCTCTGTCGTGTAGCCATCGGTGTATTCGGGATTAGGACCGTTCACCATGTACCTGGAGGGTTGCTGATAGGCCTGATAGTTAACCTTAGCACTGTTCGAACCAGGTTTCGCCCTCCTCGAAGGAGACGACGTAGAAAACGAATAAGAGGCCGCAGCGTTGCTGTTGGGCTTTCGTTGTCGTGCCAAGTTGATGTTCTGCCTTTGGCTCACTAAACTCTGATAACCGAGCCGGTACACTTGTTGCTGGGGCAGACTGGACGACAAAGATTCACCGGAAACGAATGGATTCGGCTCCTGTGCAGCCGGTTCGGGAACCGTGGGAAACTGTACCGGTCCCTGGGAAAGCACGCTACTTTCCGTAGTCGTGGGCTCGTAAATCGCATGAGGTTGCTGGGATTTGCCGGATTGACCTGCCGAAGATCGCGTGTACTCCACGTAAGTGGCCGGTGGCACGTCGGACACTCGGCCGTCCGGATATTTCCAAAAGATTTTATTCTCGTAGCGAACCCCGTTCTCCACCGTGTACCTGGGTCTGTTGGAAAGTTGCGAGCCGGCTGGGAAATGAGAGTCGTAGCTCAACGGAGCCACGGTCGATGAGTCGACGGTTTGAGAGACAGGGAAGCCACGAGAATCGACGTTCGATCGAAGCCTTTGCTCCGCGTAAGTACGCCCGTTCTCGTTCATCGAGAATGGACTTATCGTGCTGGCGTAGTTGAACGAGCCGCTGTGATGGCTCGCAAAGTTCCCGGGGCTGGGAGTTACGTATCTGACCGAATCGCTGGGACTGAAAGCCAAAGGCGATTGTGTGGAGATACCAACGTTCTGGTATCCTGAATTCTGAACCGGGAACGAATCGGCAGATGGTTTCGCGGTTGTCGCTACATTTTGGTACGACTCGAAACTGGAAGCTCCGGCGACTTTCTGGGGCTTCGTTCGTTGCCCGAATACTGACTGAGATTTCGTCTGTTGCAGATTCGAGTATCGATCCGTCGAGGAAACGAAGGAATTCTGATAACCGTCCAGGTAATTCCTTTGACTCGGAGCTTGAACTCTCTCGACGATCGTTTTGGGTAAGAACGGGCTGATGGATTCCTCGATGCTGACCGTGGTTCCTGATTTTCCACCTGGAAAATAATAGTTGTACCTTCGGGGCTGAAGGGCGTTGTTCTCGAGGCCGTAACCTAGACCACTGTTCACGGTTCGTTTCGATTTCTCTTCGGAAGTAACGTTCGATTCTTCGGTGTCGTTTCCAAAATCTAGCAGGATCAATGGTGGTAAAATTGGTAGTTTATCTTCTGACGGATCCTCTTTCGACTCGTCAGTCTTCGAGTCGTCATCGATGTCGAATTGGGAAGAAACGGATTCTTCTTCTCCATCAACGTCTACGGTGGAAGGTAAGTGCCTGCCGGAAGTCCTCTTAGCGTAACTTATCAGCAGAACCGTGGTGATCTGAAAGCGACAGGAGACATGTAAGAAATCGACAGCGTTCGTTAAAAAAACGCGTAACAGGATGAGTCGGTTATCAATCTTAACAGCTCGATGCACCAGTAATAATCTCGCTTTCACTTCTCTTCCTTTACCTTCTTTGAACCGCCGGTCCCTCTCCCTTTTTATATGAAACGTGGACAAACGTGCGCCGTGCAAACCGACAATTACTCCAGGGGAAATTTTACTTTCTTCGGTGTTATTATAATATCCCGACCTTGGCACGAAGGAGCTGAAATTTCTACAAGGTCAACACGCGTAGACGATATCTGTGTCGATCGAGTTCGGGTCGAACAAGTTTCATAGTTGCGAGAGTACTTGCGATTTTCACCGCTTTCTTCGAGAAACAGCCTAAGAGGGAATACTCTCTTTACGATTTTCGAATTAAAGTTTCAACGTTAAGTTATTACGAAGTCGCGACGTTTCACTATCGCGATAAAAGTTTCTTTTTCTGCCTCCGAAGTTAATGATCTTCGAGAGATTGGCATGAAAGTTATTTGAAACAGGTGAAAAGTATCACGTCAGGCTCTTTCACGTTCATAGAAATTGTTTGTTCTTGAAAATTGCCAGTGTTTCGTAACCAAAGATAGAGAAAGAAGAGGAGAGAAGGGGATTAACAAAGATCGTTCTCGTTCAATTTGTTTTTCGAGCAAAGAAGAAATCGAACGTTACCTAATAACGAACGAGTCAAACAGATTTAACGATAGCCGAAGAGTCACTGTTCCTCGAATACCTTCAAGGACTTTCACTGACTTACTCAAGAGCATCTGCCACGCGGCTAACTTGCCGGACCTGTGCGCGACCGTGGACGAAAGAAAATAAGAAGCACTTTCTCCGTAATGACCGATTCCGAACAGTCTGGATTATCCCGTTGGAAAATGAAATAAAACAATCGTATCACCGACAGAAATGAACAATGTTCAACGATAATTTTCTTAATTAAATAGAAATATCTCTAAGATAAATTGAGAAAGCTACATGTAAATTTCAGTTACCTTTGGAAATTTATTAACAGGAATTCGTTTCACATTTTCTACCCTTCAAAAGAGAGTACGAACTTCAAGCACTTGAAATGCAAATTATTTTCTGCGTCGAGAGAAAAGCTATGTACCAATTACAATATCAGTAGAACCGTTATTGCTAGCTAAAACGAAACGCAATATCGGCTTAAAGTTATGCCAGTAATTACTGTTGCGGCCATATTCTCCTCCAACTATACCGTTTCATAAAACGTCGAATATCCTTTCGGTATTTTAATAAAATCGTTCACAATTTCACAAGTAACACGCGTCCGTTCACAGGCACAGATGGCACGACACTCGAAAGCGGAAGTCCGTCGAATGAACAGGAAGCTTAAACGAAAACTTGGACGAGAAATCAGGTTACTTACTTGTATCAGGAGGATCCTCATGACGACCTTAAACCTGTGCGCTTGGCGGCCTTCTCGTGTGTATTTGGAACTGATGAAGCAGAGGCAGCAGCATCCCACCTTATATGCCTTCGCTTGAACGCGAGAGGGACACCATGATTATAGTTTCACCGCTGTATCACGCCGGCATTCCTCGATTCGATACGTACATACGGAAAGACACCTGCCAGTAGCGTAGCGCTCATCCTCCATTAGCATCCCGACACGAAGAAAGCCAACGACCAATTTCCCGCCACGATTAATGCGACTCCGAACGCGACAAACATGTTTTCTTTTACTCGTCGCTTGACGAATCTTTCTAATCGCCAGGTTTCTTGAATAGATTCTGCTAACATTACGTCAGCTGGTTGTTCTAACTATTTCTTCATGGTGTTACGAAACATTGTTTGCATCGAACGACACTTGATTCCTCGTTTTCGTTGATTAATTGAATTTAGGATATATTGATTAAATGATGAGGATAATTTCAAAAGCCTACACCGTTGGCTTTTCCTCCAGCATCCGCTTTCTCGTTTTGGCACGATCGTGCGCGTAAACAGTCTTGCACCTCCGCACGTGTGCCTTATGTCAACGCTATCGAGTATATGACACGATTGGCAACAGGATCTTCAGAGGAATACTAATGGTGTAATTGTAAAAATTAGGGACAACGTGCAATAAGTTACGTAAAATTGATATACCTAAAGAAGGAGGTTCTGTGGACTAAACTCTGTTATCAATTAAAAAATCCAAGGTCCTAGGTGTTGTGCTCTTCGAATTTCTTATGTAGCTCATTACAAATTCTATAGTACTATAGTTTAATGATTATCACTGGCTGATTTTTATTTTTCATTTATCACCCTATCGGGATGATACTGAGGTTACCATTTTCTATTACTATATAGGACTTAAGTAATTAATAAATCATTAACAGATGTAACGACTGTAACGTAGCTGTAAGATTTATGTTCCATAGTTTAACATTCATCTCCTTTATATTCGCTGATAAATATCTAATCGTACCGCATTATTCATCGTTCCAAGAACATGGAAGACTAATTTTTATCTGATTCGCTTCGAGGATATCTCTCGCGCAATTACTCCCGAAGTAGGTCATTAACTGATCTAAATTAAAGAGTAAATTACAGAACAACAACTGTTTTTGATTAAATGTTTATTTAAAAAACATACAAAACGTACACTCATCGATCGTTAGAAAACGAAAAGCTAACAAAGCATATAATGGTACATAAGCAGGACGTTCACGCTTGTCGTTTGACGATTCTCGATGAAAGACTAGATGCGATCGTGCCTCCTACAGTGACGGCGGCATATCTTCACGGTCAATTGCAAATATCTTGAACGTCGAGATTTCCTTGTACAGTGTCGGCCACCCTAGTGACCATCCTGCTCGACGTCCATCGATTGCCACGTGAAAAGATACCGTACTAATTAATCAGTTTTACGTTTCTTGTACAAAAAATTCTCTTTCGAAGGCAGAAATCCTCCTTCCAATTTGATCGGCCTCTCCTGATATCTTCATAAACGTTCAACAAAAGAATTACAATCAAAATCATACATCCAACAGAATTTTAAAAAATAATTATATACCTTGCAGAATCTTGCGCCGCAATTAATTTACTTGGAACGTACGAATCCAATAAGGATCTGGGTTCAGACAGGCCTACGTGATTCTGATCTGGAACAGATTCCTCTTCCTGCGACGAAACTGGCAGTAAGGGTGCTGATTGAAAATTTTGCGCAGCTGCTTGAGGTGGCACCAAATCGGTACTTGGTTCACCGAGATCCTATCGCAAAAAATATTTTAATTCAGAACAGATCTCTAAATATTCCAATCAAAGATAAAATTCAGAAATACAAACCTTGACGTAGTTCTGTGACACGCTCTGACTGGTCTGCTGTACTAGAACTTGACCGGCTAGCTCGTCAGCGACTGGAACACCGGTATCCAACTGATCACTGGAAGGTTTGTACTTGGAGCCGGCTTGCAAAGCGTTGTCTTGGACGTAGGTGGGCGTACGAGCGTAAATGTCACTGTAAACCGGCGTGGCGTGCATGTAAACCGTTGTCGGTTGACTGTAGACAAACTGGGGGACGTATTGAGACTGAGAAGGAGCGATGTACGCTTGGGTGTACAAGAATTGTCTTCCTTGAGCGTACGATTGATCCGGGGACAGGTACGTTGGCACATTTGTCAAAGGAGAATTAGTAAATTTTTTGGAGGTGACAGGAGTGGTATACGCTGTTCCTTTTGTTATCTGAAACAGAAAATATTTAGTACATCGTTTAATTACGAATTGATTAATTTTTAACTACCGTTCACACCTTGCTTGCACCTGAAGCTTTCGACAGATGGCGTTACCAGGTGCAATATCGTGATATTTCTACTTACTAAAGTTTCTACTTTTCTACTAACCTTGGTCGTGAATGCAGAAGGAGCGACTGAATTATATTTCGAAGCGTATTGAACCTGGTAACTCGGCTTCGCTGGGACAATTGGCTTCTGACTCAGCGCAGAGGTGTACACAGGTATGGATATGTGTTCTCTTGTGTTGAATTGAGGCACCAGGAATCCATTGTTTTTACCATTGTGCACATCTAAATTCGGGTAATAAGCCAGAAGGTGCATCACGGGAATGTCGATGTAAACTGTGTCTGCGAAGGATACAAACGATAATTGAAAACATTCTATTGAAACTAAAAATCAATTAATGCCTGTTTAATTTGTACCTTTGTTCACGTTTTTCGAATACTTCGCCGTAATCGTCTTCTGTTGAGTGGACTGCAGTTGATTGCCAACGTTCACTTCCGGTTGGTAAACCAATTGTTGCGTTTCGTAGATATTTGGCGCGATTCCTTTCGCAGCGAACGACTGTTGCTGGTATTCGTTGTAATATCGCGGCGATTGTATCTGTTCCTGTAGGATGTTATTTTGCTGCTGGTAAGCTTGTTCTTTCGTAGCGTAACTTCCGGCTCGAACGTACGTTTCCGATGGGACCTGTTCGGATAAACGATAGTGAGACAAGAAACTTGGTAAATTTCCACAGAAATTTATTTATCCTTCGTACCGACGACGGTGTCACGTAGGCGACTTGAGAATTAGGAGGTCCATTGTATTGATTTTGTATTTGATACTGTTGCTGGCCAATTTCCGGTTTTGGAGAATACTTTGGTTCTTCGGATCGCGTGTTGCCCGGTTGTGATACGTCTTCCGCTCTCAAATTGTCCCTCTCTATGTCCTCCAAGTTGATCTTCTTCTCACCATGGATCCCCACGCACAATAGACCCAATATCAAAAAGAGTTTCTACAAAATAAATGAATATTTTTATTCGAGAGATGAAAATTTGTTTTTTTTTGATAATAGATCAGGGATGATTTGACTCGAGGTTTATCATCAGGCATATATGTTTGGTGCTTAACCATTGCGATAGCTGCTAAATCATGAACTTGCAATCGGCTACACTTTCACTGCTGACAAAGTTCTGGGTCAAAGATCCAGCATGGACCACTCTTATATACACTGTGGCAGGATCCGGTCCCTCCGGGGAGGACCACTCCCGTGACCAAGTGTATCGCCTCCTCGATACAAAAGTAAAAGTTTCTCTTCCTGTCTCGCGTGTGAATTCCAGTGCAACGCCGGGAAAGATGATGCATCGCGTCCGAGTTATCGGTATAATACTACTGTTAATATTTTCACACATGGTATAATAGTTTCCCTCCTCCCTTTGTATGCATTTAAAAAATTCTAAATTAACTATTTGTTAATTTTGAACAAATTGAAGCTCTAATTATTTAGAATAGAAATAGTAAATTTCAAGTTTTCTATTTGCTATTTTACATTATTTGTGCCAAACTAATATCTTTCTAATGTTTTCCTTTAATTATTCAGGCATGTCTAATTAGAGGTGTCGGTCACTTATAATCCCAATGATATTCAACGTGTTAAGGGTAGCGCAGGTATAATTCAATTATTTTTCAATTGCCATTTAATGTGAAACGTGGAAAGAAATTTCATGATTCGATTGACTTAAAAGAATTTTGTTCGACACTCGCAGATCACTCGTTGAAACTCCTCGAATGTACTTCAGACTTAACCCATCCATAATTGATAAATGATTATTTTTTTAAATGAACTCGATCATCCGTGAAGATGATCATCACTTACCATGTCGCTTTAATTTCAGAAAGTACGAACACGACACAAGATCCTAGCTCTACTACAAAAGTAAAGTAGATTCAGCTTCTCTTATATAGCCTTTACCCCTACTTATGGTGCTTCCTGACGGGGCACACTTCACTCGTTGATCATAGCGAGCATAATGGTCCCATGGACCACGTGCCAAGGAGTACCCCGTCGATTCCGGTACGAGTGAACGGATTCCACTTTGCTTCTTCTCCCTTTCGGGCCTAAGAACCGTGCAATCGTGTCATTTCACAGAAATAAAGACGAACGTCAGGGAAGATGAACTACCATCGGGATGACAGACAAATTATCTGTCATTCGACCTTGATATAAAAAAGATTTAATCTTATTATATAAAACCTTGCATTTTCTTGTGCAAATGCAGTCGAGATCGCCTTCCATTTCAAGAAACATCGAGTTTTCTAATTTCTAATTTCTCGTCGAGTCGACTGATACAAATTTCTCACGATAACCGACCGGTGTTGATCGAAGAAAAACAAATGTTATTACAGGTTTATCCGTGAGAACGCGTCGCTCGGAAATTGCTCGTTAACCGGATCTTTCTAATTTCAATAGAAAACCGTGTGCGTTAAACGGTCGTCGCGAAACAATTCGATTTGCCGTATAAAATAGTTCCCGAGGAGGATGAAGTCGCGGTAATTATTCAGCCAGTCGATCGGTTCATTAGCTTGCTAATGAAGCTCGCTTTGGACAGGCTCTAACGGGACGTAGGGTCCCGTCGTGCGAAAGATACTACAAACGATCGTATTGTGAGAATATCCTCCGTATGGAGGGAAAACCGAAGGGGGAGAAGAAAACGTTTTATCGATGAACCGTTTCCTACCGATCGATCAACGGAAGTATCTCCGCGGAAGTGGAGAATTTATGAATCGAGATACAGGCCCTTTGTTCTTGGGGAACGATAAAAATGCAAGGGGATGAAGTCTCGACGGAGAAGATACTTGGGTCGAACAATTGAACACAGAGTCGTTGAATGTATTCAAAGACAGAGAAATGGAAAATGAGTCTTAATGATCGTCAAAATTAATGGCGACTGAGTCTGCAGCTTTTGTTCCACGTATTGTTGCTCGCAAAAAGAACTCGAACGAAACGTTCGCCGGGCTCGAAGTAAAAAATTGCCATGATCCAGGATGAGGTAGAAAACAGAAAAAACAGAATCCACTTTTAATGCTCGCGATGCATTTATTATTCCCGTTCGTTCTATTAGGCGAAACGGTCGTTATCCTGGCCCGAATCCTCGTCAGTTCCGCAGCATCGATACGAGCTAACAACGTTTAGATAATATCCTTCGCTTTCTACAAGCTTCCACGTTTCCTCGGTAAAAGCTTCTACGTGTACGATCCGATATACAACTGGTATCTTAGGTTTCGCAAACAGCCGTCCCGGGAAATAGTGATACCAATTTAAACACGTGCTCCGTTAGTTTTGCGTATACAGGATGGAAATCGGTAAAAGCAGCTCGTAGGAAAATTCATCCCGAGTGAAATTGAACAGGAAGACCAGCGCGAGATACGTGCTCGAACGGGTAGCTGAAGCGAGGGAAGAAAAAGAACGAGGTTACTTTTCACTAGAAATAGCCTTCGAAAAATTTGTTTTACAGTTAACGGAAGTAAAGGGGATCTCTCGAAGCTCATCAATCTCTTTGTGGATCCCTCTCTCTGCCGGAGAACCAGTCCTCCATTGGATCCTCGCGTTTCCGCGAACCCTTTCTTTCGATTCCCGCGTACACGCCGTATCCGCTCGTGCAAGATGAATAAGAAAAAAAAACACTTTCTATCCGCATTCTGGGCGTGGAAGCAGAGGGAATGATCTAATAAACGATGACCGCGTCTCGGCCGTGCCTCGAACGGAATTGTCTTCAATTAAGTCGAGGAACTTTCTCGGCCTACACGGTGACGTGGATGTTTGCAAAAATAACAAAAGCATTCGAAAGATTTGAATTTCAAGTAACCATGGCGATTTTTGGGAGCGCGGTTTCGTCAGAACGGGTTCAAACGCAGGTAGATAGACCACCCGGTCTTTCGGTTGGTCTACTTTCTCGGCTTTTAGTTTAACGGAGGACTGGAAAATCACTTAAACCTTTTGTATACACACGACCGAACCTGATCTCCTACGCAGCATTTTATGGATCGATGGGGTTTGAGTTACGTCAAGACAGATGGTTCCTTTCAGAGAGGAAAGTTCATTGGAGTGAATTAACACTTTGAAGTGACAGTGAGATAAATCAGAGACAGTCCTTTAATATACACAGCACTTTAGAGATTAAAGGATTATGAATTGACTTTTATTTAAAAGAGAAATATTAAGAACGAATAATCAATTTGAAAAATGTTTGAAATTTTTATTATAATAATTTGAATGATTTTCAGACCATCAAATCCAGTTATTTTTTATTTGCAAATATGATGGACCAATAAAAATTCATGGGAATAAAAAATCAGAGAAATCTATGTAAATTTTCGATAACAGCTAAAGAGACCACACACGTATCGTAAAAATTCAGAGAGAGAATATTAAAGCGTAGCTGTAAAAGGAACTGAAAGTCTGCTACCACCGTGACGATCAAAGTTTCGAAAAGTTTAACGAGATTTCCGTAAACACGAAGGAGAGTAAAAGAGCTTTCGGGTCACCGTGTATGTTGGGGTTCGAAATCGAGCCAAGGTACGAGAAAGTAAGAGGCTCGAGCTCGTCCGATTTTATTTTCGACCAGCGGCACGATCGCGCAGGGAATGCGAAAAATAAAGCAAAACACTGGAACACGCCACTCTCTCTCTCACCTGCCTGGACGTACGAACGTTCAAGCGGTTCCGCTGGATCCGCAGTCTCACTTCCCCTTTCCATTACCGCGCCCAAACACCATCGACCGGACGTTCTCGAGATCCGGATCGCTTCCTTTCATTCGCCGACCATTGCCTTTCCGCGTACACCATCGAGAGAGGTGAAAAATTCTCGTTTCGAATCGATACGCGTTCATCCTTTGCCTCTCGATTTCCCTCGTTGCACTTTCAGTGCAAGATTTTGAGGCGGTGCAATTTACCTAGGTCACCGAAGGAAAAATTCGAAAAGTCATGCCATGAACGATCAGATATATAATATTGGACCACAAAGGTGCCGTTTGGGGCCTTGCACCCAGCCCCAGCGGTGCCATGTGCCAACCCCTCCTCCTCGCGGTGTGGTCCGGGCACCGGGCTATTCCGGTGGCAAACGGGGCTCTGGCTATAAGCGTGAAGCGCCTGGTACACTGATATGTATAATATTGTGGGAAAGGAGAAAATAACGCAAGCCTCGCAGAAAACAACAACGATCGTTTATTACTGGTAACAGTGAAACTAGTACAAAATTTACATACACTCATAAATAGAAACATCGCGGTGTTAGGTCATAGGTGAGAAGGATTACCAAAATCCTGTCGAATTATAGACTATGCGTGCAACTTACTCTAAAGAGGTCCTGCACCAGGTGCTCTGCCAACGAAAGAAATGAACAGTATCGGTAACTCGTCTTGACAGTACACTGGGTGACATTCGTTACGAGAATGCGAGTAAAGTATAGGATAAAAGATAGCCAAAAGAAACGAATGAAAAATAATTCCTTTCATGGTATCTCTACTTAAAAATTTCTAGTGGTGACAGTCAACGTATTAGCCGATAAGCATCTAACCATTCTTGGTTTTAGCTCCAAAGTTCGAATCGTCCAAATTATTCTTGTACTGCTGAGACTGCTGCTGAGTTATCGTCTGCGATGGATTATAGTTGGAGTACTGATAGTTATATCTCCTCGGCGTTTCCACCGTGACGAAGTTCTGATTCTGATAAGACACGGACCGAGCCGAATCGTTCTCGTAACTCTGCGGTTGTTTGTCGTTCTGACTGGAAGAAGCATCGTAATCCTGCGCGCCCTGAGACGACGAATTCTCGTAATTCTCGTATTCAGACTCGGTCTGATCCTTCTCCGGTTTCTCTACAGCGGTGTACACCCCTGGCGTCAAAGGAGGATATTTAATATTTTTCAATCGAGTAGTCGGTGCTTGCACCAGTTGACCAACAGTTTGTGCAACGTTCAGCTTCCCAAGAATGCTAGGATTCACGAGGTAAGCCAATAGACGCTGCGAATTATTACCCTGATCGTTTTGATTCGCAACAACCTTAGTAGCATCTTGCTCAGCATTCTGAGCATTTTGCTGCTGCAAATTTTGCGCCAATAATTTCGCCCAGGTATGACTGACCAGCTCTTCCAGTTGCTGGGCTTTCACGTAGGTAGATGGTAACGGGTAATCAGGACCCACGGGT